ACTGTTCATAATGGCATCCTACAATTAAGCTAGTAGCACCAACTGCCAGGACAAGAATGGGCAGTTGTGGTATGTCCTGGCTGTCATTGGCGGATAAGGCTCGCACCATAGGCAGCTGGCCGCTAGCACAAGGGCCTCTTCAGGAGGTGTTGTAGTTCCCCAAACTGACAGGAGACCAGAAAGAAGCCCTACAGTCATTCCATAAGGTTTACATGGGGTCCACATTTGCTCCGGGAGGGTCCACGTTGTGAAGTGTAAGAATTGCAAACCTTCTGCAACAGCACTTCGTTCAAAGACAAATGATCCGACAGATCCAGCACACAAGCACGTTCCTCCAGGTTTTGGGGCAGAGTAATTGTTGGGCATGCTGCAATTCTGTGTCAAGACCGAAGGTTTTCTGGGCTCGGACGCGAGCACACAGATATCTGAATGAAGCTCAATTACGACAACCACGTGTTTTCTTCAGGAGGTTCCTCCTCAGGACACAAGGCCAGCAAACCTGCAACAACAGAATACTGCCACCATCGCTTTTTGGGAAGCTGCAACTGGGTAGCAATGATCTCATGGCTGTTGCGACCAATTTGCTGTCTGACTTTGGCTTAGCTTCAATCGCGGCACGCCAAGCATTCTTGACTCCTGCCACGCCTCCGCGAATCCACGCTGTTTGGAAGCCAGCGAACCAGCACTAGAGAAGACAAACGATCCAGAACTCCCTTGAAACAGCTTTGGCACGGCATCGCAAACGTGGCAATACCCGCGTGAGGAAGTAGGCTCTGCATGCTGGATGGTTGGATGTTTACGTTTTTCGAAGCTGACGAAGACCTGACGCGTTTCACATCTCACCCACGGTTGCGCTCTACAGATGCCTCTGCAGCAGGGAAGAAACGCGCATAGCGTAAGAGTGCCGCAGCCACGTACGCCATCTGCATGTGCTCTGTGAACCAGCGCTTTGCAAAGGCTGTCGAGGCGTGAGCAATGCGCTGCGCAGCCTTGTCCTCGGCAGTTGCCCATCTCACCTTGTCACGTACATCCATGACAGAAGTATCTGCCAGCAAAGGCACATAGTGCTCCCAGGGACTGATTCCTTCATGATACCACCATTGCAAATGCGTCTCTGCCCGAAAGGGTGTCACATCCAGTGCCAAGGTTAGCACTGTGTTGCGCGCAAACGTCCAGCCATCTAGAATAACCCCGAAGCGGAAGTTCAAGAAATCACTCATGGGCATGCGATCGACCAAGAGGTCCAATGAATCCAGGAGCTTTGCAAGCTTTGGCCATCGCTCCAAGGTTCGGTGCTGCCCGCAAGAATACTTACAGTCGAGCAGCTCAGGGAAGTCCATACTCATTGCCACAAACTTGCCTCGCATCTCAATCTGGCAGGCCCGATGCACTGCATCTTTTAGAGCCTTACGAGCTTGAGGATCAGGATGGCTAAAATTGGAATTGTGCGGAAACACGATATGATCCTGCAAAGACTGCGGATCCCCGATCGATCCCCGCCACACAAGCGCTGCGCGGCTAGAAGACCAGGACTTCTGCGCACGCTTCTCGTTGGTGCTGAGAACTCGGGCCAGCAGCTCATCGGAACCTGCAATCTCCGATGGGATCAGTACAACTCCTTCCCTCACGTAAGGAAGGGCTGCGAAGCAAAACACAGGTGGAAAGTCCGTGGCCGAATGCTCCAGCACTCGTCGGAGCAGAGCTTCCGGCCATTCTGGCACAGGGTGTATGGTGCCCAAATTGTCTGCAGGTTTCTCAAGGACTGGAGTTCAAAGGAGAAGCCTTCTTGGGACCAGGACCCGGCGGGAACATTCCACACGATTGCTTTCAGCGTCAACTCCAGCGAGGATATCCAGCGATCTTTACAACTCCCTTGGTACTGTGGAGACGGTTGCGTCGGTGGACAAGTGTTGCCTACAGGGCCTGGCAGCCAAACCAGACAAAGCTCAGCATTGAGCGTGTAATTGAGGGGTGGGAGCCTAGGGGGAGGTCGGTCGTCGTAGATGACAAAGTCTTGGTTCAAACGCCGCCGCATCCAAGGTGCGAGAAGATTTTCGAGGCCATCCGGATGATGGAGCAAGGCCCGAAGTTTGCCAAAACAACACTGCCAGTATCCTCCACAGGGTCCTTCGCCAATTTCTGGCCAGCAAAGCCACCGCATACCTTTGGAGCCATCGTAGTGACGCTCACAACAAACATCCAAAAGGAATTCCTCATCATTCACACGAAGCAGAGTGTCCAGCTTTCCACTGCCAGGATATGTCGCTGCTAATCGTGCAAGGTTTGTTTGCGCACTGCTGACACACTGATGCTGTAACCCAGAAGTTAATGCTTGAGCATCCATGCCGCTTACTCAGAAGGTCACCTGTTGTCGCGTCTTCCAAAGTTTGGGCCATGGTCCAACATCCAGTCTAGAGCGGATAGCGAATCCAAACGCAAGCTGCCCGACACGCAAGACCGCCAGCGATATGGGCTGCGAAGGAAATCACGGCACCATGCTAGCAGAGAGCCCTTCATCAAGAACCAAAAATCAACTGGAGTCATTCTGGTGCCATGCCAAACCTATTGTGTGTTTAGTCATGAAAGGAAAATTGGACCCCTGTGGTGGCTTTTCCATGCCTTGAGTCCCCACTAACAACCAGCAAATACGCGAGCAACCCTAAACCCCAAAAAAAACTAACAACAGTGAATTTAGGGTTTAGGGTTTTAGGGCTCCCCAAAATCCCTACACCCTTAACCTTCAACCCCCAAAGGAAACCTGAAACCTGAAGCGTAAACCCTCAACCCTGAACCCCTGTAACCCTGAACCCTGAACCCCGATACCCCAAATCCTAAATCCTGTGGTAATCGCTTCCAGGTTCTTTTCCATGTCTCCACCCTGTACAAGCCCTAATTAAACCCTACACAATTCGCGTATCACCCCTAAATAACCCCCCGACCCGAAAATACGATAATCCTCACTAGAGGGATCCCCAATAGGGTCCCCCAATCTTTGCGAAACCCTAAAGAATAAACCCTCTAAATCCTACACATCCCTATGTAACCCGCAAAAAGGTACCCCCAATTTTGGCAAACCCCCATGTGAACCCTAAACCCTTCAGCCCTTGAACCCTAAACCCTAAACCCTTAGACCCTTAAACCCTAAACCCTAAACCCCCAAACCCTAAACCCTAAGACCCTTAAACCCTATAACCCCGGGCTAGCATGGCCTGGAGGCCGGGCCCCAGGTGCTTGTTGAATCATCGGCCTTGCCTCACGAAACTGAGAACATCCTAGTACCATTTAGGGTTGAGTGTTTAGGGTTCATTTAGGATTGAGAGTTTAGTGTTCATTTAGGGTTTAGGGTTTAGGGTTCATTTAGGATTGAGAGTTTAGTGTTTATTTAGAGTTTAGGGTTCAGGGTTCATTTAGGGTTTCAAGGGCACATATGGGTTATAGGGGGACCTTTAGGAATGGCACAGGGCTTAGGGCTGCAAAGACCGGGGATACTACCCCATCAAATTGAATGGAAAGTGGGATTTTATAAGGGCTTGCATAAACTGGGGGTCCACAAACATCACCCTAAAATACTGTAATCCTTATTATGGCGACTCCGGGAAACTCACTGACCCCGAGTGAGGTTGACATGGACATACTGACAGCTTGCAGGCACGGGCACGCCGTTTTGTAAGCTTGAACCGCTAGCCACATTGGTATGAGCAGCTCTGGATGGGCAAGTGCGAGGCATTTGCGGGAATTGTGCCAGATCTTGCAACACCTGCCCTTCAAACGACAGGATATACTTAACTTGCCAGCAGACTTGATGTGTAAACATGGGCCAAACTCGAAACCCTCCCCTTGTGTATTGGTATGTTATTCCATATGAGCCACATGTATGACCCCATACGGTCCCTTTCCCTACAAGAGTGAGTGGAAGAGCAGAGGGCAAGAGGCCAGCGACGCTGCTTCGCAGCGCTGCGCGCAGTACGAAGGTCTGGTAAGTTCTGGCTTAGTATGCTCTGGCTTTGGAGCCACTGAGCACTTGGGCCCTACTCTACCAGCGCGAGCTCCCATCTTGGTGCCCTTCACCAGATTTTGATCCCGCCGCGCTATTTGCCTCACAGATGGTTGCAGTCAAAGGCATGCTTCACTGCATGTGCAGTCATGTCGGCACTTCTCAAAATCAAACCTGTCTTGAGGACCGCGATATTCCACTTACAATCCGCATCAAAGCTGGGGTTTCAGGGCCTCCTACTATTTGGAGAAACCCGAAACCATAAATCTAAATCCCCACACTCTTCGGGCCCTACGAGAAATTCCATCAGGATAACTTTGAGAAGCTCCCACATGAGCAATGTTTTTTGTGGTGGTTGAACCTAGTAAGATTATATTCCTTATATGAAATACTAGACCCCAAAAGGAGGGGATATAATCTTACTCTGTATTGGGTACCATAGTATCCCCAACTAAAATACTACTCACATGTCTACCTCAGTGGAATCGAGGCCCTAGCTCGCTGCGTCGTCAGAGCGCGCTTCAAGATCCTGGTCGGGAGTGGAAAAGAAAATGGAAGCTGTTTGGGGTTTTGGAATTAGGGTTTAGGGTTTACGGTTTAGGGTTGGGGGTTGAAGGTTTGGGGCTTAGGCCCTACACCATAAAAACTATAGTACTGTAGCTTCAATCCTCTTTTCCACCTGCACTTTAGGGTTCAGGGGGGTCTGGGTCTGCTCCTGGACGCTCAAGTAGATCCCCGTGGCCAGGATGGACAGAACCTTCGAAGCTTCAGAGCCAAAAGCATCTGCTTACTGGTACATAAGAGCTAGAGTCTAAACTCCTAGTATCCCCCTTACTAGCCCCTATAATTGTCCGCTATATTATAATATAGTCCCATATATAACCCCTTGAAGGAGTTTAGATTGTCACTCATAAGATCTGAGAAGCAGGCCACACCCAAGGAGCCCATGACAGGCACCTGGCTTTCAAGGCGCTGACCAGTATACCTTCTTGACCCTCATGGCCCCTCACAATGCCTCCACGATTTCAAAGTAATCCACCACCTCACAGATGGCAGCGCTGTGCTCTGCGAATACACCAGCTCGTACTATGAAATGCGAGATTGCCGGTCTGTACAATAAGGATTATAGTACTTTGGGGTCTTTAGTCGGGTCCCCCTATTTCTGGAAACTACTAGTACCAAATATAGCTAAATCATTCAGCTATGGGGCTAAGTAATTTTCAGCTTGCAAACGAGCCCAGCCAGTTGATCCAAGACCGTATCATAAACAATGAATTCGAACTGCGCAAGTGCGAGCTCCACGGTATAGCTGCCAAGGGAGATTATACCAATAATGGAGAATCATACGGAAAAGAAAATCGATCATCAAGTGGAAAATGGGATTGTATAGCTACCCATCCGTTTGGGAATTGGCAGCGTTGTAGAGGTTCTGAAGCTTTAAGTGTCGATCTTGCAAGGCTTTGCAAGTAGCATGTCCGGCAGCAAAAACAAAGTCCAAATATGCAATGGTGGCTAGTAGGCATGATGAGGAATAGGAGGTATAGGTATCAGTGCTACTCTACTGGATCAAAGGGGAACTACTATACTAAACCCTAAACCCCAAACCCTGGACCGCAAACCCTAAACCCTAAACCCTACACCCTAAACCCTGAACCCCAAACCCTACACCCCAAATCCTAAACCCCAAACCCTAGACCCCAAACCCTAAACCCCAAACCTTGAGCCACCCAGGGTCTGAAATTCTGAGGAAAGAGCTATTTTCACGCCAATGAAGCCCAGCACCAAGCTCACCGCAGGCTCCAGGTAGGTAAACCTCCGTAGTCAAGGGGGGTTAAGGGTTTATTTAGGGTTTAGGGTTTAGGGTTTAGGGCTTAGGGTGGGATTGTTTATTTTTGTCGCACCTTTTTCCTACTGCAAAGAGTCAGACTGCCTCGGAAAGCGAGGTCAGCGGAATCACTCAAGGTATGCCATAGGCTTTAGTGTTTGGGGTTTAGGGATGCTACACATAGGAGTTTCCTAAAATTAGGGGTACCCTTAAAGGGGCTTCATAGGCATTATACAAGGATTCTTAGGGTTTCCCAGAATTAGGGGTACTATTTTGGGGCTCCTTATAATAAGAATTCCAGTATTTTGAGCTGTGCATTAGGCTCCCCCAAGTTAAGGAAACTACTGCATTCACACCGCCTACAAGCCCCAAGCTCCGACCTTGTCATGGCCTCCCGCAAGATGAAGAATAACGACCGTAGTCCAAATACTGCAAAAATGTTCCTTGGGAAGGCAGCATTCTGCGCAAAGCGAGGAGCAAAAGTCAATTCCGCCAAGCCTACAAACGTATTCATTCTCAGGTGCGGACGACGAATACGCAATAAATGGATCCTGCAGCTTTCCGACATCCTTCCCTCTGCATAAACTTGAGTGTCACTTAAGCAATGGCTGCGCCTTGGTAGTTCCAAGCACTGCGGGCACCGAGTCTGTGGCAAACACGATGTCACTGAACCTTAGCATCATTACATGGCATGCACTGATTTCCCCGTTCAGACAGCCTGGCTTAGTAGAGGACTCAACCACCAGCAAACATAGAAGAAGCGGCGTCGCCACTGTTCGTCCATCCATCTGCAGCACGCTGGCTACACTCTGTTTTACAAACACATAGTACTGCACACCTTTTTTCGCCTGAAGTTCTACAGTACATACTTAAGGCCCCGAACATATCATATGGGAACCCCTTTGGCCCCTAAGTATACACTGTGTCCATCGATCCTTGAGTTGAACCAGGCAAGGCCAGCCTGTGTGAAAAACTTATCTCCATCCAAGCGAGGGGAGATCTCAACCATGTTGGTCAGCAGCCTATGCTAGCTTGCAGAGCTGTGCCGCACGAACAAGAATACCACCATGCATCGACGAACGTAATTGGGCCCCTGCTTGTAAACAGAACTATCCTCAATTGAATCATTATCATCGTCGTCGTCATCATCGGAGCTGGATAGCCCCTTAGCAGAGTTTGTCTCCCCTTGTTGTCTCTTTTGCTCTTTGAGAGATATGCGTCTCACTGCACATCACACTCAAAGGTAAGCAGCCTACCTGGTATGATGCATACACCTCAGCGCAGGCACGTTGCACATACACGAGGCTACCCAAATGATGGTACCTGGCTGGGCCTGTAGCATAGCATGGCTCCAAACAGGGTCCCAGCAAAGGGACCAGTAATTCACGTTGACAACGCTCTATGATGTAGGGGCTAAGTCTTTCAGCACGGAAAACGAGGTCGTGGCCAGGATGGCAGCAAAGAAAAGGATGAGGAAGTCAAACCGCTGCAACAGCTGTGCACCGAGGTACACGAAAAGAAAGCGCCTACAGCTCAACTCCTAGCGAAACAGCTGTCGAATGGAGGGGTTCTCAAAACAGGGCAGAGGGCCCCTTAATGTAGGGATGTTTTGATAAACTCTCAAACGCGTTGCCAAGGCAGCTGCAGGATCACAGCGCCGGCAATGCCGTAGTTTAGAACTTGCGACCTTTGCAGCACTACGAATTGCCATTCTGCGGAAGACTTGAAATCATTGCTGGTAGTAAGAGTCGGGCTGGCGATCACCAGTCACTTTAAAGTAATCGAAAATTACCTGGAGCGCTTCGCGAGGACCCATCAACTACAGCCGTTTGTCAGGCAACACAAGCCACGGCTGCGATGAAAACAAAGAGATTGTCGACGGAGAGAGAATACTCGATCACGTAGCACGCAAACCTGGCATCGTGCCACCTCTAGACATGACCCAGTCCTTAATCGCAATCATTGCCAGTGGATTGCAGCGGCACGTTGCTTACAAGGAACCATTCGGCTCCGGCAACGACTCCCTGAGAGAGCGTGACGAACACGCCGAAGAGAAGCGCTCCGAGTATGCCCACTGCAAGGACCTGTGCTCACGCCACCATTCCCAAAGCATCAGCAGTATAGATGCCAAGTACATGCACAAACACCCTGTCCAAGCATTCTCCAAAGGGCTCCACATGAACCACAAACAAACACCATCCTTCACAAGAACCTCACCCCAGGGTGCAAAGTTCATCGGAAACTGCAGCCTGCCTGCATGTTCTGCCTGACGAGAACAAACTCAAATTGGCTCCAGCTCCAACAGGTGCAGTGGGGCAAACAAAGACGAAGAAAATCCTGCCTCTGGCTCTGCCAAAGTCTATCCAGCACACCTTTGCTCTCATGATGGCATCTGCAGATGGCGAAAAAGTCTGTGCACACCACCGAACGACGCTCAGTCTGAGAGAAGGACTCTGTGAGCCACTTGCATAAACCGTAGCTGTGCCTGTGGTAAATTCTACACTGCTCTTGCTGGACTGTGCTTACCCAAGGCCCCTGCCAGGCTCTGAATCTTCTGACGCCTCTCCAAAACTGGCACCACAAAGCGGAGAATCAAACGGAAAAGCAATCGGAAAACAACAAGGAAACTGGGCATCTACAGGGGGTCTATAGGGTGCTTATGCACTTCTACTGAAAGCGGTGGGCCTGAAGCGCAAGTCTTCGCCTCCTTCAAGGTTCACGTCTCCAGTCTGCTTCTCGTAGAAACGACAAATCTGCAAGAACTACGCTGGGATGGATTCCTAGGACCTCTAAATAGGACGGACCACCCCCATAGAAACAAAGCACAAAGGAACCAAGGGCTTCCTTAGACGGTCTGTCCCATCAGGGGGGGCCCTGGGAATCTACCTGATTTACGCGGCCGAGGCTGCCACGGCACATCGCATTGCACTGGCTGGCGTCGAGCCTGGGCTTCATGCAGCTGCAACACCGCCCTAGATGATGTGAGGATTTGGGTATCCCCAACCCGGATAATAAAGATCCCATAGGAATCATAATAGTCAGAGGGTCCTTGTTTTCAAGTCATGGCAACAAAGGCCTTGTCAACAAAAGCAAGCATTTGCTGTGCAAGCACATGAGCTACTGTCTAAACTCCTAGTATCCCCCTTAATATCCCCTATAGTAGTCCCCTATATAAGCCCCTTTACTTTAAGGAGTTTAGACCATGGCTCACATTGAGAGCATGGCAGCTCTGGCAGTCACAGCTGCAAGTGTAAAGGCTGCAAAGCGGCAAGGACCTGGCTGCAACAAAACTGCCTCCCACATTTGCCTGTGGAAGGCCCTAACCGCTAAACCCCCAACTCTGAACCCTCAACACTAAACTCTAACCTCTGCATACACCCTAACCCCTGAACTCCAGACCTAAACTCTAAACTCTAAACCCTAAACTCCAAACCCGAAATCCTGAACACCAAACCCTACACCTTAAACCCAACATGAGGTAGGGCACAGAGGATGAAGTATTATCAACCTTCAACCCTAAACCCTTGAACCCTTGACCCCAAACCCCTAAACCTTCAACCTTAAACCACTAAACCCTAAACCCTCAACCCTAAACCCTAAACCCTAAACTCCAAACCACAAAACCATGGCAGCCTCTGGCTCTGGGCTCGCCCCGTGGCCCAGAGGCCCGGCGCTCCACTTTCTCCTTCACTGGCTGTTATTGGGGTTACATTGGGGTTCTATTGGGGTTATATTAGGGTTGCATTGGGGTTACATTGGGGTTCTTTTGGGGTTATATTAGGGATATATTGGGGTCATATTGGGGTTGTATTAAGGGTATATTGGGGTCATATTGGGATAATGAAAATATAATCGAAACTACTATTGAGGGTTTGCGGTTTAGGGTTCTTAAGGGATTTGTAGGGCTGATACGGCTTATAGGGGGACATATTGAAGTCTATGAAGTGCAAGCTGGGGGTTCATAGGGATCTGTGGGGTTTAGGGTTTAGGCTCACATTGCTGGCGCAATATCACTGGGGATCATATGAGGGTTAAGGATTATGAGGGCACACCGGGAACGCAAGTCAAACATGAAATGGAAACAGCTGATATACTGGATATCTTGAGGTTTCAGGGTTAACTTGCTTGTAGTGAGTAGGAAATGGAGGAATGGAAAGGAAACCAAAAAAATGTAGCGAGCTTTGGGAATAGGTTTATCAAGGGTTTAGGTTTTGGGTTTAGGATTGCAAGTAGCGAATAGAAGGATGAATCCCAATATAGCCCCGAAATGATGCGGTAGCTTCTTCTTTTTATCGCTTTTTCATTCCCTAAGCAGAAAGTGCAACATTCCAAGCAGCATGCAAGCGAAACAGAAGTTGCCTGATGGAGACCGCTTGCACATGGCTTCAGGTGGATGACCCCAGGCTCAACTCCTGCATGCTGCGCCAGGTCTACTAGCTTCTGAGCAATGCCGGCCGGTCACACGCATCAGCGTCCTGAAATCATCACCAATGCCCTGCCTTGGTGTGCGAAAGCTGATGGATCCGACGTGCCGCCGTGTTGGCTGGCTGTGTGCAGCTGAAGCGCAAGGTTCTATCTAGCACAAGGCTTGCAACAACCTTGGCCACCTGGCATCAAGTGCTGTTAGCGGAAACTGCAACTTGCGAAGAGAGGGAAAAAAAGCGACGCGGACAGATGAGGCGATAGAGAGAGAGAGAGAGAGAGTGAGAGTGCGAGAGAGAGAGAGAGAGAGAGAGAGAGAAACAGAGGCAAGAACAGAGTGAGAGATACAGCGAGGAAGCGGGCGAGAGGAGAACACTGCAGGAACTTCTCAAAATCGGCCTGCTGCCACCCGACAAGCTGTCTCATCCATCACCTGACTGAGTGACATCCCAGTGGCTAAAGGACAACACAGGCAAGCAAACCACTGAGATTGCCAAACATGACTTTGCTGCCACCCCGGCTCTGAATTGCAGAAGCTCACACACCGGCAAGTCTTGATGCAGGCAAGGTGCGTCCCATCTTTTTTCAATCTCTTCTAACAGCAACAGACTGATTTTGAGAGCCGATAAGCAGACGGACAGGCGGATGCATTGTGTTCTGAAGAGGCTTCCTGCACACTTGTCATGTGTCATGTGATACGTGTCATGCTCTTCCGTGCAGTGCCAAAATCCCCGAGTTCGCAGCCATCGGCTGGCCATATGCCCCCGGGACAGGCACATGGTGCATTCCGCGACCGCCGGCCTCTGTAGGAAATACATACTCCTCACGATTGGCGCCCAATCTAGGTACAGTTACCGAGCCTTGCCAGCAATGGCAGTCTGTTGGACTAGCTTCCCTTGAGCATGAACGGCAAAGGCACTTAGCCGCGTAAAAAAAAAAAACAGCAAAATGCAACACTGCAGCCCTGCTTGGACGGCTCTTCGTGAGAGCTTCCAAGGTCCAGGTTTCTACCCAAATCATGACAAGGGCTGTGGTTACGTGCAGGTGGCGAGCATGAGCACTTTCAGCTTCCATTTCTACGAAAGCACCATTATCACAACCATCGTAACACTTCTGTGGCACTGGGGCACCGTGGAGGGGAGAGGCGAAAGTTCTGCTCATCTTTGAAAGCCAACTTCTTGCAACCGTGGACCGCTCCATGCTAATGCTGGGCTCGGCCACATGTGCGCCATCAATATGATCAAGCCTATGGGCAACCTCGTGATCAGGTAGTAGTGCCAGGCCAACGGCCCTTTTTGTGAGATGTGCAAAGCAATTCCACATCGGCGGGAGCTGGAGGCCGGATGCCGTGAACACCAGAAATGTGAAGCATTGTCAAATCCCAAGTCTGACTTTGCAGCAGATGCACCAGCCTTTTCGAGCTTCACCAGCCATCACTCCATCAAAATGGAGCGCCAGGCCGTCTTTGTTAACTTTAGGTCCAGATCCAAGATCAGCTGGTGAACAAAGAATCCGCTGGACTTCCGGCTTCAGGACATTGCACCTGCTCGTTCCCAGTTTGCAGCTTCAGTGGTGGATCCACAATTCCAGTCTCGACAATTTGCAGGAAACGAAGTCAAAAAGTCTGAGAGCATTAGGGTCCGAAAGCGATCCGTTTTGCAGACATGGCGCCACGTACCAAATCAGAACGGACACTTGTCCTTTATGCATGCTGTGCCTGCTGAGTCCAACCTGAACGGGATCTGGACTGGTCTTGACTGCGCATCCTCTTAAGCTACAAAGCCTTCCTGAAATGAGAGACTAACAGAAAGTACAAATCAAAACCGTAGTTTCCATTTTTTTGCACTATCCAATTATGCCCATTATAACAATTATACGCATTATACCTATTAAATCCATCATACCGTACCCATTATGCCAATAGATGCCTATCGCAGTGTGTCTGGCGCCGGCGGAAACCTTCAGATCCAAGGACTTCCTCCAGGAAATTGTACTCCGCCTTGAAGCGCTCCTGTGTCTTGCTGGGGGGTCTGTGGGGAATCATGGGAGTACATTATATAGGGATTAAATAGGGACTATATTCCCTTATTCCCTACTAACCCCCAACCAAGGTATGGGTTTACATGCTACAACATTGGCTACTTCTTTACAAGACGCACTGCTTTGTTGAGCAACATTAGCATTTCAACCTCTGCATGGCCTTCAGGTCGTCCAGAAGCTTCCCATGCTGGCACAAGGTAGTGCGAACACCCCGCGCATTGTAGCGCGGGAAACGCAAGGAGCTTGGGAAAGGGCGAATCTGAAGGAAGTCTGTGAGGGTCCGCCAGGCCTCATGAGTGCTCAGCTTTAGCTGCTCGACAAAAAGGAGACGATGACCCAAGGATTCTTGCCACGCTTGCCACTTTCCTGCCAAAGTCACCTAGATGGTGCGTTGAGGGCCCCAAACCATCAATGAAAAGGTCCCTGAAAAAACGCAAGACTAAAGGTTAAGGAGTATCCTAAATTACCACCCAGTAACGGAAGCATCATCTTCCAGCTGCTTTCGCACGGCTTCTGCAAGCTCATGGTCTGAGGGCTTGCTTTGACCGTACATACGGCGTTCGAAGCGATCAACGGGATCACAAACTGTGCAGACAACCCTCATGTTGGGCATCTGCTTCATTGCAAGCCTCAGCAACTCAATGTTCCACATGAAGGGTTGATACAATCCAACCACTTTCGAGTCGCCAGATTTCTGGCGAACTTCCATGCGGAAGCGGTTCAATCGCTCTACCTGCGAACGAAAAGGCAAGGTTTGCCTGCCCAGTTCCACCATGAAGAAATCCTCATCAACATTGAATACCGAGAGATTTGTAAATTGGATTTCAGTGTGCTGTGACAAAATCCTGTGAACTGAGGTGCTACCACACCCATCCATTCCAATAATTGCAAAATCCAGCTCCAACTGGCCCCAATGAAATACCTCGCGGGTTGTGACAATTTGCAGATGAACCCCTGGAGCGGCTAACTTCGCAAAGAACATGCGCGCAATGTGTGTTTCTACGTCGTCCGCGGAGCATTCAGATGGCACACATGCAGTGGAGCTTGTCACATCTGTCTCCAAATACCAATAACGTCCACCAGAATTCCAGCATACCATGATCTTGTAAGAAGCGTCATCGAAAATCATTTCTAGCTCCCGGACTCTTCCACCTTCACGTGTCCAAGTGGTGAGCTGCTGCGCAGAATGCTTCCAGCGGTGGAGTTCTTTCGCTGACAAAGACTCTTCGCCCTCGGGTGATGGCAGGCTGTTGTCATTGGCATAGACTCGAGCAAATGATAATGGCCGGAAAAAGTCTTGATAGCCGGCCTTATTTGCTGCAGTGCCAAAAAAACTTCGCTTGTTTTGGCACCTGGATGTACATGCATGCTCATTGGATCTGGCACACATACACACACCCATGCCAAAACCACTGAACGCAGCAGGATTTTGCTGCAAGAACACAATCAACCTCTTTGTTGTGCCATGCTTCCTTTCAAAACCACCTGAAAACTTTGGCTGCCACGAGGCATTCCACTCAGAGACGCATTTCGAAACGGATTGACAGGCCTCCGTGTCACCTGAGCTGCAGTTTGAACTTTGCTTACGCTTTGTAGTTTTACCCATATCCCCGCGACGTCCTTTCTGACAATGCAAGCCGTCATGAATGGTAAACCACTTCCAGCAGTCAATGTGGGGCCGATAGTCTACACGACATGCTTTCCATACCATTGCGACAGTGGGAGCTTGTTTCCGGGAACTATCTGCAAGCAGGCTGCTGCAGTCTGAAAAGCCTTGCGACAGCGAAGCCAAAATGGGCAGTAGCCATTTTGACGAAGGCGCAAAACACCAGCACATCTCACCTACTGCTCTAACCGGAAACCACCATAGTAACTAAATCCACACGCTCCTGCGACATGAAACAAACCTGCCTTCCATGCCAGAATTTCCTCTGTCTCAATATTGTACAAAATGTAACCGCACAGAATCCTGGCGGTATGATCTGGCATATTCCCTGCCACAATACATGCATCTGTCCAAACACACTCGGATGTGCAGTTCTGCAATGCAAAGAATAATTAGATTGCATCACAAAGAAAAAAACCACACATGGAACCAGAAATGCCAAAAACTGATTGAATTACAATGCATCATTTCCGCTGCGTGACATCCTTTCCGTGCAAAGAATCAGACTCCACCGAATTCGCACAAATTCAGTTACATGGCCATGCATTACGAGGCATTTCATGTCTGATGCCCCAATTATTGGCACCAAAAAGTTGGACTTACATGAAAGGCTCCTAATACAGGAGCTAACCGAATAAATCAAGATAGGCTGCGGAAAAAAAAAAAAAAAGGAATTCAAGGCTCGTGAACACCAGCGTATTATTGCGATACGTTGCACGGAAGCAACTCCCATGACTACTTGCACGAAAGTGGATGCTGGTAGATTTGGCAATACCCACCCCGTGCTGTTTCCACTACGCAGGCTGAGCATGTTCCCCAGTCAAATCTCATTAAGACAAAGAATCAAAACTTGGCACCGCGGCACCTTTGGACATCGTGGGATTTGGGTGCCTGTACACAGCAGCTTTTTCTGCAATGTACCAACATAACAGTAGCAGCTACAACACGAAATACAAACTCTTTTCCTTTGAAAGGAAAATGGAAACAATGCACACTGTGCACTTGAGGACGGAATGCAATTTCAACTCAATCTTGTTTTGCCAAAACTACTCCATGGCACAAGCCGGCCTAGCTGGATGAGGACTCATGTTTTATATATGCTGGATTTGTGCACATTTCTTATTCTCACAAAGCTTCTGGTAGGCACACCAAAAATCAAATTTCAAATATAAGGATATCACATCCAGTTCTCACATGATATGTTCATCCAACTCCATCTCGAATATAATATTCCTCATCGCACAAATACATAATATTCAAAGAAAAGGACCGGAGAATCCCACATGTGTAGCTTAACCTAGATTTAAATAAGATATTATTAGGATAGCGTCGCCCGACGAAGAAAGTGCGATATATGTCAGAAGATAAAAACATTAACCCAGGCTTAATTAAGTGTGTTATTCCCATAACACAAACCTCACAGTTATATAGCTTATCCAACATAAGAACTTTGCGTACATGACACAAACACATGTTCACGAAGCACACTCACAACTTCACTCGCTTTTTCTTTTTTTTGGAAAGCTACAAAACATGTGAGGTCGATGCGTGCAGAACGTGCAATCAATCACTTCAGGGGACAAGCAGCCTTGGACTCAGCCGTGCCACTTGTGTGCATGCAGCTAAAGCGCTTCACAGCTGACCATGCAATCCAGAAGAACCAACAAGTTATCGAGTGGATTGAAAGGGAACTCAGCATCCTTCTTGTTTGGCAAAACAATTACAATCTCCAAGCCAGAGATGTCACCTACAACATTGTGGCCATACATAGAGGCAACAGCCCGAACTCTGGACATTATCAAGCGTGCCTGATCGAAGATACACAAGAGTATCTTACAGATGACGATGTGTCAGCAAAAATTCTACGCCAAGCTGATCGCAGACTCATCAGCCAAAATTTTTACCTGGTGTTCTGCGTCAGAGCTGAGTGATCTCAGGTGGGGAAGGTCAAGCCTCCGTGATGGGATGAGAGTTCACCTCTCCATGAGCCTGATCGTAGTTTTTCACCTTGGCCACAGGAGCCGCGGGGTGCGGCCTTCGCAAGATGCAGAACGCTTCTTACTAGTTATTTGGGTGTAGGTGTTACCTCCCCGGTTGTTCCTGACGTCCATAGGAAGTGGTGGCTGTAGTTGCTGGCGCCTGCTATGGCAGTGCGCTGCGAGGCGCTAATAGGGTGGCCTGCGCTAGGCAAAGTCCTGAGTCTCTGACAAGGATCGAGCCGCGTCCAATAACAGATGTGGAAGGAGTGTGCGGTTGTTCGCGCACGATTCGGGGGAAAGAGATGTCAAGAAGCAGTAGTGTGCCTAATGAACCCCGATCAAGGACGTGCACCCTTTCCCCTCGCATCTCTCTGCCTGCCACTGCTGCCGTGTCATTGGCATGTCGCTAGCTTGGCTGGCGCGATGGAAGAATTCTGCAACATCATGCTGCCTTGTGGGCTCCCTCCAGCCACGCATCAAGACCTGGAAAGTGAACGTCTCTCTCAGCAGTATGGGCCGTCTACCATGGACAATGGCTTGCTTGCTGGACGCCATCCTTTTCAACGAATCTTCAGTATCCTGCAGGTGCTGGCACGCATGGAGCAGGGAGAGGACAGTGGAGTTGATGTAACACGCGTTAGATACTGGGGGGGATTTTGCAGTTTGGTCCTAGTGTTGGACACCAATACCAAGCCGATCACCCAAGAGGTCATCAACACGCTCACCTTGATGGACCAGGCGCGCAAGGAAGATCCTACAATCCTGTGTCAACTCAAGGCTCTCAGGCGAGGACATGAAAGGAGAGTCAATTGCCCCGAGAGGGCAACAGGCTCTAGCCCTCCATCAGGGATTCCTGAAGATGGACGGGTGCGCAGCGCTCCAGCTCATAGGGCAAATCTGCGCAGGGAGCGTCAGCGACAGTCCAGGAAGGCCGACAGAGCCAGGGAGGCAGTGTACGGTCGCCGTACACCAGCTTGGACTGCGCTTGATCCCACCTTATGTAGTTCCACAACATCGGCCCTTCTGTGATCCACTGTGCTTTTGCCGCCTCTGTCATACTGGCCGGTGTCTCTTGCATCTTCTTGAGCCTTGCTCCCAGCTCCTGCATGAGAAGCCTGAACAAGCAGGTTCGGAGGTTTGTCTCCACTTTGCCTTGGTCCTTGAGTGCATTCCACTACTTGGACGCCTTGACCAGCGGCACGAGTATCCCGCGCGGCGCTGTCGCCATGTGCATGAGGAACATCTTCTCCTGCCTGATCTCTGCAAGCTCTTCCTGTCAAAGGCACAGCTTCGCCAGCGCAAACATCGTCTCCTCGGTGTCCGTATGACTCTGATACAGGATGGGCCCCGGTGTACTGCCTTGGATTTGCCTTTGCCCTTGCCTGGGCGGCCTTTTCCGGACGCTTTCCGTTGTTGCGCTGGTTGCTGGCTTGAGTCCTGTCTTGGTCTCTTGTTCGGATTGGGCGTTGTGTCTCTGGCCTCCAGCCCTGGGAATAGATGCCCGAAAATTGCCTGTAGGTCGCCCATTGTCAATGAGGTATCGCGCTAGGCAGGCTTGATATACTACTACACATGTCATGGCATGATTGGAACCACCAAAAATGGAGCCGCCAGGCTGACGGCACTCTTTCACAAGCAGCTGAGACATATAACTCATATGCCAGTTCACCTCACACATATTAGCAACCAGCGTCTTCGCTCCACTCATGACCTTGCACATCCTGTCATCAGAGTTGCGGAAAGAGCAGCTAAGCAGATCCAGACGACGGAGGCCTTGAAAACGCACTTCAAAGCGCATGAGGCAAGCCTTGGCCCGATAATCTGTCAAGGCGAACAGAGTCGCGCAAGCGCTACACGCAATAGCTCACGCCGAACAGGAGCCCGAGGAAGTGGACGTAAGGCCGGATCTTGTTGTCAAGACTGTGGGTTTAAGACTAAGTATAAGTCCGCCTTGATTAAACATTGCATACAGAAACATGGCAGAGAGAAACGTCCCCAATTGGAAGCAAGTTGACAGGCTTGAGCGTGCGCGAGACGGGCTGCCAATATGTCGTTGGTGTAACCACGACTTCGACACTTGGCAGAATCTGCAGAAGCATATCTATTGGACGAACTGCCATGACAAGCTGCGTCCACAGGCAGCCAACCCACCTGAGTTGGCCCCGCCACGACTATTCGTGAAATACAACCTAAAGCCCAGCTGCAGCAGTCCGTAAGGCCGTAAGGCCAGTCGAAGAGCTTCCGGCTGTCAGCAGGCTCAGTGAGGCCACATTGGCCACGTCTCCCCACCAGATACTGGAAGCAGAAAAGTGGCTAAGAGAAGAGCTTAAGGACCACAGCGCCTTATGCAGGAGTGGACAGCCAAGAGAGGAGGCACGAAGATACACATGCAGGTCAGGCTGCGGACCTAGCTAAAGCCAAATGCCTGAAATACCAGGACATGGTGGACTACAGCAAGGGCTGCAGGTTCTGTGGGGAACCACGGTATGCAGACAAAAGAGCTGCCATGGCACACGCACAGAACTGCCAGGTTCTCTTTCAGATAGTGTTCCTACAGATACTGCAGGAAGAGAAGACAGGCCCATGCCTTGGACTGAACAGCTGCACTGATTGAGATCCAAGCCGGAGAGGTCGTTGACATGCGCGCGGCGTCCGACAGTACGGATCTTACCTTCGATCAAAGAAGGTTCTTGGCAAAGCGCTGCGTGATCTGCAAGCGGCACCTGCCGGACCCAAATCCCTAGA